TGACAATTAATACAATTAAATCTCATTCAAATGGTTTTGCAAAACAAAAACGAAAATGTACTAGATTTAACTTACTCCCTATAAAATTTGACAATTAATACAATTAAATAATTCATATTATATTACGAAAAAATAAAGACAATGTACTGGATTTAACTTACAGACTAAAAAAATCTGACATCAATACAATTTTGCGAAAGAATAACGAAATATACTGAATTTAACTTACCATCTATAAAATTTGATAATTAATACAATTAAATCTCATTTCATATTATTTAAAATAACGAAATGTACTGGTTTTAGTTTACATTCTACAACAATAGAGAACAATAATGCAGTTAAATCTCATTTCATATTATTTTACAAAAAAATAACGAAAAATGTACTAGATTTAACTTACCCACTACAAAATTTAAAAATTAAATACAATTAAATGACATTTCATATTATTTACGAAAGTATAAAGAATTTAACTTACCCGCTATAAAATTTGATAAGTAATACAGTTAAATCTCATTTTATATTATTTTACGAAAAATAACAAAAATGTATTAGATTAAACTTACCATCTATAAAATTTTCCAATTAATACGATTAAATCTCATTCATATGATTTTGCGAAACAAAACGAAAATTTATTGGATATAACTTACCATCTATAAAATTTGACAATTAATACAATTAAATCTCATTTATATTATTTTAAAATAACGAAATGCACTGGATTTAACTTACAATCTACAACAGTAGAGAACAACAATGCAATTAAATCTCATTTTATATAGTTTGCGAAACAAATAACAAAATGTAATGGATTTAACTTACAATCTACGACAGTAGAGAATATCTAGAATTAAATATCATATGATTTGAGAAACAAATAACGAAATGTACTGGATTTAACTTGCTCTCTATAAATATTGACAATTAATACAATTAAATCTCATTTACGAAAAAATAATGAAAATGTACTAGATTTAACTTACCATCTATAAAATTTAACAATTAATACAATTAATCCTTTAATATTATTTTACGAAAAAATAACGAAAATGTACTGGATTTAGCTTACCAGCTAAAAATTTGACAGTTAATACACTTTATATTATTTTACAAAAAAATAACGAAAATGTACTGGATTTAACTAACCATCTACAACAGTAGAGAATAATAATATAATTAAATCTCATTTCATATATTTTGCGAAACAATTTAACTTACCGGCTAAAAAATTTGACAATTAATACAATTAAATCTCATTTCATATTATTTTACGAAAAAAATAACGAAAATGTACTGAGTTTAGCTTACTCTCTATAAAATTTGACAATTAATACAATTAAATCCCATGAATATTATTTTACAAAAAATAACGTAATGTATTGGATTTGACTTACCTATAAAATTTGACAATTAATACAATTAAATCTCATTTATATTATTTACGAAAAATAACGAAATGTATTGGATTTAACTTACCATCTATAAAATTTGACAATTAATACAATTAAATTTCATTTCATATTATTTTACGAAAAATAACGTAATGTATTGGATTTGACTTACCCGCTATAAAATTTGACAATTAATACAATTAAATCTCATTTATATTATTTACGAAAAATAACGAAATGTATTGGATTTAACTTACGAACTATAAGATTTGACAATTAATACAATTAAATCTGATTTTATATTATTTTACGAAAAATAACGAAATGTATTGGATTTAACTTACAAACTACAACAGTAGAGATAATAATACAATCAAATCCTATTTCATATTATTTTACGAAAAATAACGAAAATGTACTGGATTTAACTTACTCTCTATAAAATTTGACAATCAATACAATTAAATCTCATTTTATATTAATATATATTTTTACGAAAAATAACGAAATGTATTGGATTTAACTTACCATCTATAAAATTTGACAATTAATACGATTAAATCTCATTTTATATTATTTTACGAAAAATAACAAAATTTATTGGATTTAACTTACCATCTATAAAATTTGACAATTAATACAATTAAATTTCATTCATATGATTTTGCAAAACAATAACGAAATTGTATTGGATTTAACTTACTCCCTATAAAATTTGACAATTAATACAATTAAATTTCATTTAATATTATTTCACGAAAAAATAACGAAAAATCTACTAGATTTAACTTACTAACTAAAAAATTTGACAATACAATTAAATCTCAATTAATTATATTTTACAAAAAAATAACGAAAAAATCTACTGGATTTAACTTACTCTCTATAAAATTTGATAATTAATACAATTAAATCCAATTTTATATTATTTTACGAAAAATAACGAAATGTATTGGATTTAACTTACTCCCTATAAAATTTGACAATTAATACTATTAGATCTCATTTCATATTATTTTACGAAAAATAACGAAATGTATCAGATTTAACTTACAAACTATAAAATTTGACAATTAATACAATTAAATCTCATTTTATATTATTTTACGAAAACAATAAAATGTATTGGATTTAACTTACAATCTAAAAAATTTGAATATAAATACAATTAAATCTCATGGTTTGCAAAATATCTAATAAAGTTTCTGAATTTAGATACCGTCTACAAGTATTATTGATACTGTACGTTAAAAAAATCATACTTAAAAACTTTGCTGCACTGATTTATCAAAATACTAACCTTTTGCTGCCTCTATCAATTTTCTGGCATCTTCTGAAATCATTATGTAATATCAGAATCAAATAACAATACTGTAATACTGTAACTGCGTAGCTTCTACGTATTAAGAAATTTTAAAAAGTTGTGCAACGAACTGTAGACTTCGGACCCTAAAATTATAATGATTTACACTCACAAATTATCCCCTAAATTTATGTTATACTGTGCGTTTCGTTGATTTTATTCTATACCATTATGACTTCGGATGCTCAAAAATTGATAGAAGTGACAAGAGGTTAGTTATTTAAATCGCAATAAGTTTACTAAAGCTATTAGGTGTAATGTTTTTATATTTAATTATAATACTTGTAGATGGTAGCTAAATCAGATATTTTAGATATTTTCATTATTTGATTTGTAAGTAAATATGATATTAATCGTTAACATTATAGGGGGTAGGTGAATTCTGTATATTTTCTTTATATATATATTTCTTGTAAATAATACGGATGAATTTAATTTAATTCTTATTTTTGCTATTGTAGATTGTAATTCGAATCTAGGATATGTTTCGTAAAAGTTTGTGAAATGATATTTAATTATATTATTTATAAGTTGAATCTGGGATATATTCGTTTAGCATTTCGTAATATCATTAAATTGGATTCCTATTGTTTACTATTGTAGATTGTAAGTTGAACCTCAATATTTTCGCCGTCTGTTTCGTAATCATATGAAATGAGCTTAATTGTATTAATCGTTAACTTTTATAGTCTGTAAGTTGAATCTCAAATATTTTCGTTATCATTTTTAAAATCATATAATATTAGATTTGGTTATATTCTTATTCTTTATTGTTGTAGATGGTAAATTAAATCCAGGATATTTTTAGTTATTTATTCGTAAAATTTATATGAAGTTTTAATGGTGTTGATTTTTAATTTATGGCAGGTAAGTTGAATCAGGATATTTTCGTTATTTTTTTCGTAAAATTATATAGAATTAGATCCAGAATACTTTCGTTTATTGTTTCTTAAAATTACATGAAATGAGATTTAATTGTATTAATCGACTTTATAGTGGGTAAGTTGCATCTAGGATACTTTCATTAATTGTTTCACAAAATCATATAAAATAAGATTTTATTTTATTCTTATTTTTACTATTGCAGATGGTAAGTTAGATTTAGTAAAAAGTCATATAAACCGAGACTTAATTTTAATTTTATTCTTTACCATCGTAGATAGTAAGTTAGATCCGGGATATTTTCGTTAATTTTTTAGTAAAAAAAATCATGAAATGAAATTTAATTGTATTTTTTATTCCTTACTACTGTAGATGGTAAGCTAGATCCAGGATATTTTCTTTAATTGTTTAGTAAAGCGATTTTAATTGCATTTTTATTTTTTACCATTGTAGATTGTGAGTTGAAAACCGTCGTTTGTTTCGTAAATGCAGTTAAATTGCACCAACTTTTGTAGGGAGTAAGTTAAATCCAGAATGTTTTGTTATTGTTACATATATTATAAAATGCGAATTAACCATATTTTTATTATTTACTATTATAGGATGTAAGTCAAATCCAGAATTTTTGTCCTTTATTTGTAGAAAAATTATCCCAAGAGGTTTAATTATATTCTTACTATTTACTATTGCAGATGGTTAGTCAAGTTCAGGATACTTTTGTTATCTTTCTCTTAATATGAAATAAGATTTAATTGTATTCTTATTCTTTATTGTTGTAGAAAGTGAGTTGAATCCTAGATAATTGGTTATTTGTTTTGTAAAATTATGTAAATTGAAATTTAATTGTATTATTTAACTTATAGTGGGTAAGTTCAATATAGGACATTTTTATTAATTGTTTATAGTTGAGATTAATTGTGTTTGTATTATTTAATATTATAGATAGTAAGTTGTATCTGAGATACTTGTTATTTGATTCGTAAAATTATACAAATTAATATTTAATTATATTATTTAACTTTTATAATGGGTAAGTTAAATATAGAACATTTTTCTTAGTTATATTGTCTCTCAAAAAGAACACAACACCTGATCGGTGATCTTTAAATGTTAAAATTTTAAGTAGGATAAATCAGATTATAATAAAATTTTACTATATATAGAATATAAGTATTCTTAAATAATGTATAAATTGAAATAGATATTAAATTAATAAAAAATTTACTGGGTTTTTTAAAAAAAATAAAAATTTTTATTTATTTATAAAATATATATATATATAATTATAAAAATATATTTTATTTCTATTATCATCTTGTATAACCACCTTTTGCCTTAATAATTATTAGTTATTCAGCATGCAGTGCCGAATAACTGTAGTATCGGGCAAACGCAATTTGATTGGTTAATTCTGGACTCCTTCGGAGCCCAGAATTATCAATCAAATCAGTTGTCAGATACGTAAACAACCTTTAGGTGGTGAAGTTATTCGGTATTGAATGCCGAATGACTTATTTATCTGGCATACGTCATTTTTTTTTACTTTAAGCTTTTTGATTTTTTTTTTATTTAACGCTTTTTAATTTTTTTTTATTTTTAAACATGAATTATTCTAAACCAACTACAGCCGAACTGGAAAAAATACAAAAAAATTGAATTCCTCAAAATACTATTAAGATTACCAACAAGTGGATTAAAATTATAAATGCTTGGCAAAATCACATTAATGTTGGATACAATTATACACTTGAATCAGTTACAAGTAAATCACAACTTGAAAAGGAAGTTTGTGAATTTATTTGTGGAGTTTGTACTTTAAAAGGCGATTATTATTCACAATCTTCTTTGAAAAATGCTGTGGCTTCAATTAGTCGACATCTATGTGATGCGAAATCCGACTGGCAATATAATCTATTGAATAAAAGTAATTTTCCTAATATTTTTGCAACTCTTGATAGAATGTTAAAAAAGATGAAAAAATTAGGAATAGGAACAACAAAATCTTACAACGGAATTACAACTAAAGAATTAAAACTTATTTTACATCATGAAGAATTATCTCCAAATAATTCTGAAGATCTTCTTCATCATGTTTTTTTTTGGATGTGTCTTTTTGGTTGTTCTCGTAGTGACAAACATAAGAATCTATTAGTTTCACAATTTATAGATACAAATCAAGAGTTTATATTTTGAAAATTTAAACAAAAAAATAATTAAGGCAGTGTTGAAGGAAATTAATATGACCACAAAATTCTGTTTCCAAAAGATATTCCAAATCAAGCTGAACCTAATACAGATATTCGTAAATTTATTTCTTTAAGACCACCAAATGGTAAATCTAAAGAATTTTATTTGGGAATTTTGCAAAATATATCAAGTAAGTATAATATTTGGTTATTAAATTTATAGATTATTTTTTTAATTTTAATTTTATTTTAATTTAGTAATTTCAAAAGAATTATAGTATTATAACAAACCATTAGAAGAAAAATGAATTTCTGGTTTATTTAAAGAAATTTGTACTGTCTGCGGAATTAATATTAATAGTCGAAATATTTCCAACTATTCAAGTCGCAATACATTGATACAATCTATATTTAATGCTAGAAATGAAGAGTTAGAAGCAATGGTAATATCTGGACATATTTCTTCTTCAGGTATTAGAAATTATATAAAAATAAATAATAATAATAATAATAATTCTTATCTTCGTTATTCAAAAATTAGTTGATAATTCTAATCAAGTAATTTATTTTTTTTTAAAAATAAATTAATGAAATTATTAAATTTTTTTTTTTAGAATAATAAAACGAATGATAAAATCGATTATGAAATAGATAGTGAAAAGATATATTAATATATTTATTTTAATTTTTAAATTCTAACAAAAGATTTTTTAAAACTTTTTCTATTTATTAATTTATAGTTACCAAAAGGATTTGTAAAAGCATCAAGTTTACATATCAAAAGACCATTCAAAAAAGTTAATATTAATCAATCGTTTGATGAGCAAGATAACTTAACAGAAAAAAAACAAAAAAGTGATAATAAAATCATTATTAATAAATATTATTATAAACATTGTAATATTTATAATTAGTTAAAACATAATTACATACTAGAAATATCAGTATTATGAAATGTAATGATTAGTGATATTGCCAATAAT